TACCTTAATTTATTGCTAGTGATTATGGCACTTAGGAAATCCACACAATTAATTGTTTAACGCAGTTTTAATTTATTTATTTCCCACTAACATTTTTGGATATATTAAGCTTGTACATATGTATGTATGTGCACATATTTTGCTTTTAATACTTTTTAAATGGAACTGATCAAAATTGGAAATAAACTTTTACCAGCAAGAAAGTTTTAAATATTTTTTAATTTTTTTATTAATATTAGAATTTTTTATTTTTCCTGTAGATTTAAAAAAATTTTGAAACCTCTTCATTATATTGATTTTTATAGCACAAATAAATTTTTTAAATGCTTTGCAAACATTATGGAATTATTTATGCTAATTTTTAAGCATTTTGAAAATATTCTAGTACTCGAAGATTTCAAATTTTTTTGAGTATTTTATTAAAAACTTTATAGTGGTATCATGCGCAATTTCGGTTTTATTGCGGTAATTTTGATACAAAAGATGCTTCACGGAGTGAACGACCCATTGTCAAAAATGTCGATAAAATCGTGGACATTGTCAAGTCCGACCGTCATGTAAGCACTTTTTGAACCGTTTGAATAAGAATGGATATGAAAAGACAATTCATCAATTCAAAATCAATTTCATGCAAAAATAATGGATTTTCTTTTACTACACCAATATATATACATTTCCGTACTGTGTTATACGAACGCACATCGATCAAGCTTTTCACTTGAATTCCGGGGAAAAAATCCTGACAAATGATTTACTAATGTTGCAAATATTTGAAAAAATTACGGTTATTTTGGCTGTTAAATACTAAAATCAATCATATCACAGAAAACCAACATAAAATCGAAGATGAAATTATGGAAGACTTTGCCCTTGCAATGGCAGTTTGTGAAAATTTTAGATATGGAGTACCGTTGTTTATCATTCAGTTCCAAAATCGCAAGCCTCTTTAAGAAACGTTTTGCCGTATTTAGGTGAAAACAGCTGTAGACAAATTCTGCGAGTCAGCCGAAGAGATTTCGCTGTTATCGTTCGTTATGAAATCTTTGTGCAAGCATTTTCCTGTTCAAATGGAAATTGTAACAGTATTTTGCCGACTGAGTTCAAGTGGGGCAAGAGCGACAATTTCGCAGGTACGTTTAGTGTTTGCGACGGAGGAGTAACAAATATGTACTTTTCCATTAAATTGTGCAGATATGCCCGATTTTATATTTCTCTATAACATAGGTCATAAGCAATAGAGTAGCGTGTGAGATTCTGAAGCTTAAGAACAAGTTCATGTGCTGGGAAGATGCATCAGAGCGTAGAACTTTAGTGACTAAAACACTAACTGAGCTGTGGCATTGTGGTGGCTATGTTGAACGGAAACATAATCGGCTGAAAACACCAATTGAAGACCCGGAAGCATTTTATTTCCGAAAACATGCTTTTCACTAAAAGTAAGATTGCAAGTTGCTCCCAAAAGCTTCCAAACAACTAACACGACACAGTGGTTGGCAGGTGGCAATGCCTATAAATTGGCTAAGAGTTTTAAGACTCTCTTAGAAGAAATAAAAAAGAAGGCACTTTTCATACAAATTTCGAAAAGTCATTTACGCAATGGTAAATTTATACGCTTTACGAGCTTTTTACGTGTTTAAATGAATACCCTTAAAATGTTATGTTGTTCTACAAGACACACCAAAAAATATTTAAAATTTGGTAATATATAATTTATATAAAAAGTTAATGTTTTCGAAGCTTATGAAACTTTCAAAAAAGGCTTTAGCTTTAACAGTAGAATGCAATACTCTGAAAATTTTATCAAGCTTTTAACATGCTTTTTGTGTTCAATCTGCTTCTACTTAAATTAAATTTAATTTAATTATTAAATTTTTCATAAAATAAATAATAAATAAAAAAAATCGCATTTTCAAAGTTTCCAAACTTTCGAAAACCTTGTGTAAATATAAACAATTTTTTTTATCAAAAATGGGAACATAAAATTTTAACATAATAATTTTTATATTTTATGATTATTTTTACAATTTCTTTTTTGCTCGACGTTATTCTACTGTAGTATCTAATAATAGTGAGCAATTTTGGAATTTAAAAAAGTTCATATTTTCGCAACACCGAAAATTGTACAAACATTTTAAAGTTGACTTTTACGGGGTTTTATCAATAATTCTAATTTTTGAACTTTTCGAAACTTTTTGAAAATTGTAAATTTATTTTAGCAGATTTCTTTACAACATTACTTTTGTATGATAAGGTTAAAATTAATACTTTCTGAGCTTTCAAATATTTATTATTTTCAAAACAAATTTTCTAAAAGTTTTAACATAAAATTATAATTGAAATAACAAGGTTGCTTAACTCAAACTTTTATTTTTAAATATTAACCATCTGGCAAAAAGATTTTTGACCTTTACTGTATTTTTGTGCTACCAATTTTTTTCTAATAAATTTACAACTTTCGAAAATTGAAAAATGCATTTCGACAAGAGCAAAAGCTTTCAAAGTAAGAAAATAATTTAGAGAAAAATAAAATGTACTCACAAACAACTCAAATGATTTGCATTTTATTTTCTGAAATCTAATGGAAATAAAATGATTTTCAGGCAGCTTAGCATTTTTTTTTTTTTTTTTTGTAAAAAAGATGTATACAATATTTTTAGCTGGCAATATGTTGAAGTTAAAATGACAATAAAATATAATATCAAAAATTGTTTTTCTGTCAATTTTACATTGAGTGAATGTACCTACTTTTTTTGTGTAATGCATAAAATTTAATGCTTTTCTGGTAATAATTCAAAATTAGTTAGAGTATGAGATTTGAGGTAAATACATTTCGTATTCTCACAAAATTCAAAATTTTATAAAATTTTATAAATATTTCAAAACGTTTTTTTGACAAGCAGCTTTTACTATGATTAAAAATTTCGCAAATTTTGTGAGTTTTCGAAATTTCAGCATTCCAAAGTATTGAAAATTGTTTATATTTTTTGTTGTGCCTGCGCAAAATTTCAGAATTATCCGTTATACAATAATTTCTAATATCAGAATTTTTTTAGAAAATTAATATAAATTACGAACGATATACCAGAATATTCTCTTTGATTTATAATTCTAAATATCTTCATTCGTACAAATTGCAAAAATATTAGAAAAATAATTAAAAATGTTTGATTAATTGATTCATTGCTTTGATTAATAGTTTCATATTAAAAAATTATTACGAGAATTTCCGAAAAAGAGAATTCAGTAGTGAAAAAAAAAATTGAAAAATAATCAATTATTTAGTATATAACCACTTCATGAATAAATGTGTACTTACCAGAATAATTAATATTATAAAATATTTGCTTTTGTTATTATATTTTACTCATTTCCCACTATGCAATATGATTCTATTTTAAATATATTTGCTGCTTTCAATATTTCACCAACATCCAAAAGTAATGGAAAATGAATTTAAATAAAAAATTAAATTAAATTAAATATTTTAATTTCCTTCGCTCTGCGGCAGGTAATGTTCACCCTTCCGAGTGTATTTCAAACATGAAATAAAGCTCCTCGTTAAAAAAAAACCAACAGCCATTCGGAGACGGCTTTGAAAACATCAAGACGCAAAACCCCGAATTGGAGGAGGAGCTCGGCCGAAAAATCGCTTCAGCAGTTACAAAGCGCCAATTATATTTAATAATAAAAATGTAACTAAGATACTGTGAGCTTCACTTTCACCGTGAAAGTAGAACATATTTGAAAGCATGTAAAAAATTATATACATATACATATATACGTATGCAAATGTAGTATACTTGATGCACACATATACAAATAGAAGCAAACTGACGTGTAAATAAACACAAATGCACACAACTACTCATGTAAATAAGAAGAAATATGTATGTGGGTATGTTTGCGTGTTTGTGAAGTGCATTTGAATAAGTGTAAAATTGAAAATTTAATATTGACCACACAAGCCTGAAACTTATTTGTATGTACATATGTATATCTGCTTACACTTGCACAAGTTCAATAAGGAAACTAACGAGTTAAATGCCCCATGAGACGATGCAGGCAACTAAACACTTGTTACGAGTGAAGTAAACTTAACTTACTGGGCATATACATACATATGTATGTGTATACATATATGTGTGAGTGTGTAGCTGGCACACTTATGCATAGTCCCATGTACATGTGTATGTTTGTATGTGTGTACATTTATACCATCACGTTTTCATAAATATTTGCATCTCGAGTATTTCACCTGAGTTTTCATGAATATTTCAAAGTTTGCATTTACAAATATTTAAACATATTCATTTATGCATGTACATAGATTGTTTACAAGTAAAATACAATAATATTATGAAATGAATTTAGAAAATCCTGCTCTTAATTTAATCAAGGATTTCACTGGTGAATTCTGTCGAAAGCTGGATGAATTATTTACGTGAATTATGCCCTAAAAATTAATCTCTGCTGGTTTTTATATTGTACTATAAAAGGCTGGGAACAGATCTTTTTGAAAAGAAGAACATACAAGTTCATCATAGAATCATATCTGGACGATAACTGAAATAATATTTTAGATTCATTAACTGGTACTTCCCCAGTTGGTGAGTTAGTTATTCTTGTTGAACCTGAGTTATGCTACTACTACAACTTGATGTGATCATCATTAAAAAGCCATTTCTCCCATAAGAAAATGTTTGATGCTTTGAAGATCGTGAAAAACATATTGTATTGAAATATTTTTTAACCGTTTTTTTCCAAATCTTCTCATAGATACATACATATTGTTAATTTGTAAAAAAAAAATTTCTATAGCACATTCTTCTTCATTCTCTTTTTAGCTACTTCTACGATTAATCGTCTCACAATGCCTCAATGGTTTGAGAAATAAAAATCCATCATTTAGGAAATTATCGCAATGCGAACGACAACCGAATTTGTAATCAATAAAATGAACAACTAAAGTAATCAAATAAATTAGAAAGAAAGAAAAAAACTCAAATAAAAAGTAAAAGAAGAGATAGAAAGCAATCGAAGAAGAACAGGCTGCCCGGCGTTAGTGCACAAAAGAAGAGCCGCGTGGTAAGATGAGCAAATAAAAACGCAGCGCTGACAGCATGTGGTGTCGCCATAATAACCGTAAAGCAGAGAACATTAACTAACAAACACGCGTAGCAACAACACGAAAGGAAGTGAAATAAAAAACACTAACAACTCAAACTGTTGGCATTTGGCGGTACCAGTAAAGGGCGGTTCAAGCGGAAACGGAAACGAATCGGAAGCAAAAACATAATTAAATTTCTTTCCACATTCTTTCTGTCTCTCTCCCCGGCATAATGTATGTAATAATACAGGAAGTTTTGAAAAAGTGTTAGAAATAAAAATCAAGAAAGCTTACAGCAAGCAGCGGAAGAAGTGCATAAAATCCATTAAAGCCGCTATTGATGCCTGCTAACGGTGTTACATAAATTAAAGCTGAATAATTATCAGTGATTGCGAGTAATGTAATGTGTTTAATAAAGAATAAAAAAGTGCTAACGGTGTCAACACTTGCAAGTGCTTAAAATTTACTTTCTTTTCTTAATCTACCGCAGACTGTCTTCATCAATTCGCACTTCAAATGATTTGCTGGTGATTTAACGGTAATCTCAGCCGCTTGACTCGCTCGCTGATTGAAGACTTTTGCAAGCGAAATTAAATAAAGAGTAATCAAAAGCAATCTACAGTCAGGCAGTGCACATAGCAGTACAGTTAAGTGAACGGTTTATAAAAACGTCAAACACACACAAGCTCATAAAATTCTTGAGTTTAGCGCCCGCTAGGGGAAAAAGTTTCACTTATTCATTGTGCATAATAATCGAGAAACAACAACAACTGGCAAGTGTCTGTCGCCGCAACAACTGTCAGAGCGTTGTTTGTATTTTAGTTGTTGTTTTGTTGTAAGCCACAAAATTACACGGAACAATGGCTGACTTGGAACGTATACGACTCGTCATCCTGGGTGGCGCAGGTGTCGGCAAAAGTTCCATCATCAAACGTTTCCTCTTCAAGACATATACGGACAAATATCGCGCCACTGTCGAAGATCTCTTTAATAGGGAATACGATTTGGGCGGCGTTACGCTGAAGGTGAGTACGAAGGCCATACTTAGTTATGGCAACGGTATTTATATTGTAGCTGTAAATAATATAAGAGCGGGCTATAAAAATCGATAAATTAAAAACTTCCTTCACGCTGCTAAAAAAAAACTATTGTAGAGCGTTGCCACTTATTTAAAATATTAATTTGGTCAAATAAAATTTTTTTTCACCATTAAAATGGTGCGGTTGAAAATAACTTTGTTGAAGGGTTGCCACTTATTAAAAATATTAATTTGGTCAAATAAAATGTTTGTTCACCATTAAAATGGTGCGGTTGAAAATAACTTTGTTGAAGGGTTGCCACTTATTAAAAAAATTTGTGAAAAAATGTGGCAAAATAACAAGAAAAAAATTCTACTGTACAGATGTACGCAGAAGTATGAAAATACTTACGGTGGGGGAAACTTTCATGCAGAGTTACCAAATAATTTAAATTTGCATGAAAAAACAGTAAAAAAAAAACAAAATAATTCGCACGGTATAGACATGATTAGGAGGAGCATTAAAAATCCTTATAGGAAAAAAACTTTCATGTAGCGTTGCCGCATTTTCAAAATTCATTTGAAAAAAATAAAAAAAAATTATGAAGTGTTTTTAATTACAGATGTTGCCACCTATTTCCTATTTTTCAAGCGAGTATTGAATTATTTTAAAAATTATTTCAAAATTATTGTTGAGGCAATGGGTCTTAGGATTACTTAATGATGAACACATTTTTGGCCTGGGTTGCCACTGGTCGACAATTCAATTATTGCGTCTGTAACAACTTATTTGAAGCCAGAATCTGACTGTTTTGGAATTTTTTCCATGCGCATAATTTTCCGTTTTAAATAGTTTGCCAAATCAGCATGTTTAAATGCACTTAAGCAACGTCTGTCAAGGGAAGCATTTAATGCGCATTTACACTTTAGTTAATGCACATTCTCTGTCCCGCTTGTATTCGTCTTGAATTTAGCAGACTCTAATTTCCATTTTACCCAATTACCAACAGATTTCAATAATTTTTTGTTTGGATATATAAGCTTACGTACATATGTATGTACATATATAATCTTTTCACTTTCTCATTTTGCTTAGATTTTATGCGTAGACTTAGTTTACACCAACAACTTACTAGTTTAATTTCTCAACTTTCACTCGCAACACTCCTGTGCATGTGGGTGTGTGCTTGTATATATACATATATACGTACATGCATCAGGTTTCAAAAGCAGAAAATCATTAAACCATCAAAGAAATGTTCGTCAGTGAAACGTGGCGGCGATGCGTGTTGGTGTTTAATTGAATTTCTTGTCGTGCTTCTTCTTCTTCTTCTTCTTGCTCTTGTTCTCCATGCTGCTTTTTTTAGTTCGTTTTTATTTTTTATTCCATTCTAAGTCTGTGTCTGGTATATTCGCTAGAGATCTGACTGCCTAGGCACCACCTAGACGCTTACATATTTATATATCTAGCAAGGGCGAGACAAGTTGTGCATTGCCGGAAATTTTGAAGTCACATAGATTCCTACCAATGCATACTTACATACTTACATGCACACGTACACACACTCGCGTATAGTTTCAAGACAATTAACGACAAAACTTTTGTCTGCAAACATCTTTAACATGACACGCTCGACACGGAGTATTTTTATAGCGCACACACACATACACACATATGTCTACCTATATACAAAGTGTGTGTGAGAGCAAATATATGTGTGTGTCTGTATATGTAATGCATACCGTTAGTTGATAAAGTTTTCTGGTCTACACATACATACATGCATATTGTAGATGTGTTTGCGTACAGTTAGGCGTTCGAACAGACAATACCCAAACTCAGATATAACTGTACGTTGACATACAGTAGTTGCCCGATATTTTGAACACAAGAAGAAATCAATTTGGTTGAGAAAAAAAGCAAAAGCAATAATATACAAGAAAATGTAGTAGATATTTTTGACTGATAATCAATAGATATTTCACAACTATACAAATACCTCTAAGCAATATGTTGAGCTCAGAGCGTTTTAATGCTTCTGGTTAGCTTTAATGCATCCACAAATATGATGGGTAAGTAATTGTGCATCACACTCACAAACACACACGATCTCTCATCCCGTAAAATCCTTTCAGATTCATTATTGGACTTCACTTCTTCCTATAAAAATCTCACTTTAGCAAGAGCTCTTGGGAGAAGGGTGAAACCTACTTAAATTAACCCAGTTGGATCCGCTAGTCTCTTCATAAGTTACCCAAATCTCTCTATAACTCTATACTTGTTGTGAAAAAGTTAAAATAACGAAAATCCCCATTTTTTAACAATGTTCGATTCATTTATTGGACAATCTCCAAGACTCCACGCTTTTTTGTGTATTTTTGAACAAAATTTTTCTTAATGGAAGATTAATCTTAATGAAGTGCCTATTGACCACTAATTCATGTGACAACCACATACTGAGCTCCTGTGATTCCGAACAGCCACGTGAGCAGCTGTCACCTGTTTTTTGCCTGATTGGTCGACCAGAACGAGGTGCAATATTGACATAAAAATTTTCGGAACGGAATGTAAATAGTCGGATCTCATTTAAAGTACTCTTATCATAAACCACAAAATTGTTCGATACAGTTTAGTTGAAAAAAATATAAATTAAAAATGATTTTTATAAAAAAATATAAATTAAAACTGTATTTTCAAATATTAAATTAAATAAAAACAAATTATTTAATATCAAATAAAACAAAAAAGGAAAATAAATAATATAACAAAATAAAAAGAAATAAAACAAAATTATATAAACTAGAGCAAAATAAAACAGAATTAATAAAAAATTTAAAAAAAAACTTGATAAAAAAATAAAATAGAACAAAAAAACAAAATAAATAAAAATTAAGTTAAACAAAATAACTAAAATTAATATCAAAAAATAAATTGAAAAATAAGTAAAATATAATAAAATGAAATAAAAAAAGTTTAAAAAAATATATAAAATAAACTTAAAAATATCCAAATAAAGTAAAGCAAAATAATATAGAGCATAATAATAATAAAAAAATTAAGCAAAATAAAGAAAAATAAAATGAATTAAATTAAATTAAAAATTTAAAATAGAATATATAATATTAGTATATAATACCAGCAGACCCAACGAACTTCGCCTTAATTGCATGGTTTTACATTACATTGGTGGCCGCGGTAGCCGGTTGGTTAGCATTGGTTGGTTAGTACTGACATTCGGTAGGCACGGGTTCATATCCCGGTACCACTAATTTTTAATTGCGCTCGCTTCTCGGCATGGAATGTCCACCCCTCCGAGTGTATTACGGACATGAACATGAGGAGCCTTTATCCTCATAAAAATCAATCGGCCATTCGGAGGCGGCTTGGTGGAGGAGCTCCAAGCGGTTTCGGATAAGAGAAGTTCAAGCAGCCACATAAACGAAAATAAAAAAAACTCTCATAACAAAGTTGAATTTCATTTCAGTCCACTCGTTGTCAATTGAACATCAGGCTTTCTCAATAAAAGTTATGTTCCTGCTAAACCCAACAAAAGGCTATCTAAGAACCGAATTTCATTAAGATTTTTTTTCGAATATATCAGTCCCAGGTCCTCTTCCCGGCTTGAAATATAGATATTAGCCGACTTTTAGATCTACTGAATATGCGCAGAAAATTTCATTAAGATCGGTTAAGCCCTTTTCGGCGGAGCATCATGTCCAACACTGCGGCACGAGAATTCTATACATTAAATAATAATAAATTAATTAATTAATTAAAGTAAAGTTAAAATAAATAATACACAAACTCACAATAAAGTTTCATCAAATTAAATAAAAATTAATTAAAATAACTCAAATAAAATATAATATAATAATGAAATGAATTTAGGTAAAGAGCAACAAAATAAAATAAACAAAATAAACAAAATAAATAAAAAGAAAAAAAATAGTAGTAGAGTAAGTTAACTTGAATAAATTAAAAATAAAGTTGTTTACTTCATTTATTTTATGAAAGATTTAAAAACAAATAAAGTAGCATAAAACAAACTAAAACAAAATTAAGCAAAAAATTCAAATGAAATAAATTAAAAAAGTAAAAAATAAATAAATTATCTTCAGAAATGGTTTCAGCATTTCATCCTTTTTTCAGATCCCTGTTCCAATAAAATAAAGCGAAATATTTATTTTCAGGTGAAAATCGACCAGTCTTAATGCGAGGTGTACATACATACGAATATATAGCATTCTACCTTACCTTGTCTATGCATATGTATTACTGTATTGTAGTTTTTGTGTAGTTAAAAGAAATACATTATTTTTCCAATAGATGGCGATATTTATCTGTATTTCGCGTTGTACTAAAGATTGCCCAAAAATCATTTGGCACCATTTGAAGAAGGCTGAATACGAAAAGACAAAATTTAAACCATTAAATGGATTACTTTTTACTACACCTAACATACACATATGTATGTATTTATTTATATATATGTTTATATAAATATGTGTCTTTGGATTTTTGCCTCAAAACGGCCAAAACAGGCTCATGTCACCTTCGAACAATTCAGTATTAGAACAATAAAACCAATGTAATTGTTGTTGGTAATCTATATTTGCAACGCCAAGACCATCAGTACACAACCAATAGTTATCTGATTTGTTAAATTAATTTAAGGTTGCAATTGCTTGTTTTATTTGTGTACCGTTGGTTCATTAGCAGACATTATTCGTTGCGTATTTTTGCGCATTTTTACACCCGAAAAGAGAGGAAGAGAAATGTTTTTAATTTCAAGCCAATATCACTTGACATAATGATTAATGGAAATTATTGTAGCAAATTACCGTTGAGCAGATTGTGGAACGCCGTTGAAGAATTGTGTCAAACAGAAAATACGAAATTTTAAGACCAGCATAAATAATATTAAGCAATTATTATGAATATTTAAATTTTTCCAAAAAGTCAAGAAATTAAATTCGAAAAAAATTGCTCAAAAAAAGTTTATTTTA